AAAATAAAAGTGAAAAATTTTTTCCTCTGATTTTATTATCTAAATGCTTTTTAAAAGCTGACTCCTCAGCTGACTCTATTGAGCAAAATGCCCTCGAAACGATTTTCTAAAATCGTATATTATCATCATTATTGTTTAAACGCATTTTCTTTCGATTATTTGGACAATTCACAACGCCTTGCATTCTTCGCCTACCATAGACTTTCACCTTTGTGAACGCCGTGGATGAGGCCGAGTGTAATTCCACCTCTTGGACCATTCATACGCCTAATCAAAATATTACTTTATTTTCATCCATAAATAGCAATCAAAAGTACCCAATTTGAGTCTCGGGAAAAACTGGGCTGCAAAATGAAATTAAATGCAAAAAGAACCTCATTTTGGTGTTTTAGTATCTTTGGTGTTGAATAACTTGATGTGAATTAGGCGAGAGGTATCGTGTTGGCAAAATTTACGCTTGAAAGATAAGAAATAATGTCAAACAAGTATTGAAAACAAAAAATTGCGCACTGGTGTGGTAATTTTAAAATAAAATAAATTAGACCATTTCAAAATTATCTAAACGCTTTCGAAACGTTCCTAGACTCACTCAGGTGCTGCGCAGCATACAGTAGGCAGAGATGTGGATTATGGCGCTCTTTACTCACCAGGGAAGATGCGACAGTTGCCGGAAATGTTTCCTTTTTAAATATTTCGCACATCAAAATCAGGGATCATTCCGTCTTTCCCCTCTATTTGTGTCTTAATAAGCTGCCTACAGAATGATTAAAAAGACCAGACATGCAAAGAGGAAATTATTCTATAGAAATAGACAAATTGCCGGTTTTTGTTTGTTAAATGCTTTGCTAAGGTCATTAAGTGCCCAGATTTTCCGAAATCGTATATTTGTTTAAAATAAAGTTTGTTTCCATGGAATTGGGACTAGCGTCAGAGTAATGGGGGCACAGAGCTTCACCACAACTCCTACAATGGTAACAAAGTGGACCAAGGGGTTCTTAATTGCTTTAGTTAAATAGGTAAATGTGCAATCTCAAGCATTAGTGGTGTGTTTTTGTTAGTGTTTAGATGCGTTTGGGAAGAAAACTGTTCTTTGTAGAAATATTTGTGAATTATATGCCTTAAAATATTGACCTATGCATTTGTCAAGTCTATTAGTGCAAATTAAAAGCAAATAAGGGATGAGTGATTTCGATAACTTACAAACAAGGAACTGAAATTACTAATTTTCTAGGTGATACAGGGGTGGGAGTTACCCAGACTGGGCTTTTAACCTGTTTGACAAAATCTAACCTGAAGGGCAGATTTACCAGTTAAATACTCCTACATTATTAGCCGTCGATCACGATCATCTAAATAGGGATCTCTTGCAGGAAATGTAGGTTACATTATCGCCCTTTTGTCTTTACTCTAGTTATGATTTTATAAATTTCACTATCCCCACGTCTTATTCTCACAAGGCCCTCATTCTGCATACCGCTTATTATTTTTTGTCTACCCATAAGCTATAAAACCTTCCAATGAAAGGTCTAGAAGAAATAATTTTACGATTATTTGATTCACTTATTCTGTCACTACCATTTATTCTATAAACATAGGTTCCAGGCCACAATTTATGTGTAGCATTCATTGTTTAAAAATATGCGTGTGTCAGGCATAGCCTATGTATTAATAAATAATTAAACCCCATGCTGTGAATAGGGCAAAACAGGTTGCCCTTGACGTCAGCCAGAGTAATCGAAAGCGAGAGCTTAACCAGACTTTACAAGGTTATGCTTATTTCTTGCAAACATTGCGAGGCACAAATCAAGGAAAGGTGTACCAGTTAGTGCAGTGCACTTGAAGAAAGAAACACGTCGTGTAATGCAAGAAACTCATATTTCATAGATATTTTATGTGAAAACTTTAAGTTGTGATATTTTGCTTTAAACATGGAAAAGCAGACCATCAATACGCATAGTTGGCACTAATTCTTAAATATTATCTGAAAGACCATGCGGGAGAAAATTATTTTTTTCGAAGGACTGAAGTACCCCTGCTTAATCGGGAAGGCTTTGATGAACCTCCTGACTTGATTCACCAAAAAACATTCATCCACACTAGATATCTTGTTTCCATGATGTATAGATTTGGTGCACATACAATTCAAGCTAGATAACCACTTAAATAAACTGATTCCTTTCACCACGACCAGCATTACTCGTAAGTCCTCTTTGCCTCTGAGGGTCTACACAAAGCCATTGGAAATGAGCGTAAAGGCTGAGAGACTGTTATGGGAAGTAGCTCGAAGAGCTCACAGTAAATAAAAAGAAGGCGAATACGACTGCAGAGAATGAGAGACTACTTAAATTAAAAAACCACTTACAAACACAATTTATCTAAACGCTGAAAATGCAGTTGGCAAGTTCATAAACAAATAAAAGGGGTGAGGTGTTTCTTAGTCTCTCAAAGTAGTTCAACAGATCCATCTTTTAGCAATTACTACATACGTATATGAATACACTATAAGTACCGTTGCAAGTCTTTCGCATCCTTCGAAGAATAAATCTTTCGTCCCTTTAGAGGTTATAATTACTCAAGGAATATAACGTTTTGGTTTTGGTGATGATTCTCACTTTGGTCCTCATAAACGAGGGAGTTTAATGACCGTGAAAGACTATTAAAAATGCCAAAGTAGTTACTTTACAGAGAGTGGGCCAGCAGAATGCCATGACACATGGACCGTGACTCGTATGTTTTGGTTTTCGAAAATGCAGTCGGTGCAATTAGTAACCTCAGAAGATACAGGAACGAGAGCAGTGCATTAGGAGAGTAACTACTACATGTGTGGCTCCGTTGCGAGGGTTGCCATCACCATTTAAAAGGTTTATATTAAATTTGGTAATAGTCTCAGTTACTTCCAAATTAGGTTAATTAATAAATGTCTGAGGATTTATAGATTTCTTTGGAAGGAAAAAGAGAACCCTAACGTCAAAAAGAGTAGGTGTCCATGGGACCGAAGTTGTGCTCTACGAAGTTCCCATTTTCAGTTAACAACACACAATATCTAGTAAAGCTCCAAATCTCCCACATTGAAAAAGTTTAAGACTACGACTTACAAATTTCATGCTACAATTAAAGCTAG